GCAGGTACTGGCACACGTAGATGGGCGTGTTGGAGGCGCACCGGGCGATGCCGCAGCCCACGTACGACGTGGTGCGCCACAGGACCTGCGTGAAGTGGCCGCACACGCCGCCGCTGCACTGCTTGGTGGCCGCGTTGTAGTACTGGGCCTCGCTGTCCACCCACGCGTTGAGCACCGCCTGGATGCTCGAGTAGCCCATAGCGAGGTTCTCACCTAAACACATCATTTGTGTGCCGTGTGAGGCACCGCACGCATGACACACGCACTCACCGCACACGATCGCGCGTACCGTAGTTGCCGCCGCTGTGAGCAAAGGTGCAGCCGCTGGCGAGGGTGTTGGCGTAGTTCTGGGCCGAGGTCTGCAGGTTGGTGCTCCACGCGAGGTTGGGCACGCCGTACTGCGCCCGCTTGCCGTTGTGCGCGTTCAACCTGCGTGGGTCCCGCATAACGTTAGTTCATGTGTGTGCGGTGTGTGCGTGTGTCATGCGTGCGTGCGGTATGTGGTGTGCGTACCAGGTGGTGGGATCGCCAGACGGCGTGGTGCCGGTGGTGCTGCCAGTGGTGGTGGTCGAGCCCGTGGTCGAGCCCGTGGTGGTGGAGCTTCCAGTCACGGTGTAGGTGGCGCTGGCCTGGAGCACACACCCGGAGCTTAGTTACCGCACGACACGGCACGACACGACATGCATCATGACATGACACACACGAGTACCTTGACGTAGCCCGTGGAGATGACGAGGTACACGTTGTAGGTGCCGGCGGCGAGACCGGAGGTGCTGAAGCTGACCGAACCGCTGGCGGCCGTTACGTACTTGAAGTTGCTCGTCGACGACGACCCGCTCGCGAAGATGCCGATCCACGTGCTCGTCACTGCCCCCCACGTAGCGTGACGTCAGCATAAACAATAAAATAAATAAAAAGTAAGAATGCGAGTGGTACAATCGTCGGCCGAGTAGGTGGCGGTGAACGTCGAACCGGAGGCGCCGCTGGTAGGGTTCAGGGACAGGCTGTAGACTGCAAAGGGGGAAAACAGCATAAATACATTGCTTCTTTTTTTGATTTAAAAAAATGCAAAAAAAAAGTAGAAAATGTGCTTGCTCATTGGACAAAACAAGAACCAATAACTGAGACCCGCGATCGTGGTGAAACGAGGCGACGCCGAACAAGTTGAGAAGATGATGAAGGTGAAGATAGGTGGGGGAACCGCGTACCGCGCTTGGCACGGGCGTCGATGCTGGTGGCATTGAAGGAGACAAAGGCCAGGCCGGGTCCAGTGCGGCCTCGCGCCTCCACGACGGCCTCGACTGGTCCATGGTAGCCGCCGTAGCCCTCGTCGGCCAGGGCCAACCCACAGAAGAGTACGGCCAGGGCGACGAAGAAAATCTTTTTGGGGGATTGGTGCATCCCGTAGAGTGGAGCGGAGCGTAGGTGGTGTGTGAGTTGGAAGTTGATGAAGAATAGATGCGCCACCGACTGAACCTGCAGGTTTTTGAGGCTCACGGGTAAGAGCTCCAATGACGGAGAGGAAAATAAAAACAAGCCCTTCACTGTGCCAAAAAGTCCGCCCATAAGCCTATTGGCCAAGGGGGCAGAGGGCTTCGAATTTTGGTTGGTGCATTGGGCG